GCTTATCCTGGCGGGCCGCATGCCAAAGGTTGCCGATCCCTGCCTTAGAGGGAAATATTTTTTGGCTGTCCTTTTGCACGTGTGAGAAATTGAGGCCAGAGTATGCCAGATGACCTTTGCAGGATCCAGGAGTGCCTTGTTGACTGGCAGGGCAATGCGGGCAGAAGAGGCTATATGGAGGATGTCAAACAGCTTCTGATGCAGTTCTTCAATGCAGTGACTCTCAACCTTTCCAGATTACTTTGAGGAGTCTGATTGGTCTTGTGTACCCCCAAGTTTCACCTCACTGAAAAAATAATTGCTCACAAATCCAGACAAAAATACAAAAGTATCACAGCACACAATTCCTGGAAGATTGCTTAGTTTCTTATTCTTACCATATAATTATAAAATAAATCAATTGGAATATAAATATTGTACTTACATTTCAGCGTACAGTATACAGAGTAGAATAAACAAGTCATTCTCTGTATGAAATTTTAGTTTGCACTGATTTTGCTAGTGCTTTTTATGCAGCCTCTTGTAAAAATAGGCAAATCTCTAGATGAGTTGATGTACACCCTGGAAGATCTCTGTTTACCCCCAGGAGTACACGTATCACTGGTTGAGAACTACTGCTTCAATCTTCTCAAGAGGGATCTGTAAAGAATCCACGATACTCTTGATGAGATCCTGAAACTGCTTAAAATCGCCAGCCAGGGATGGTGGAGGTGGCATGACAGCTTCATCCAGGGGTTCCAGTATGGCCAAGAGGATGGCACGTATGGCACGGATGGTGGAATCCATAGGTGCTCATCCCAGCGGGATGGTAGCTGTAGACATCTGTCATGAGTGAGTGCAGGCTCCTTAGGAAAAGGCTCCCATAGGGGCGGAGTGGAGAGCCTTGAACAGATATTTGGGAGGTCGAGGCAAAATCTTCCTCAGAATCCTTCTCCTCTAAGTCACTTGGTAATGGTGAGAGAGCAGAAGGAGCTTGAGGTATCACCATCAGTATCGGGCAGGTGTCCGGAGATCTGGAAGTTCTTGGTGCCAAAAAGATACAGGTGTTGAACAATGGTGAATCAAGAGTCTAGAATGAAGTCTGAGGTCTTGGAGAAACCATATATCTTACAGTACTGACAGCATTGTTGGTATCGTGTCCAGGGCTTGTGCTGAAGTAACAGTAGCGATGGTAAGGTGAGTATCAAACGCTCCAGGCAGAATCCAGACAGAGCCCAACCAAACTTTTCCAGTACCATGGTAGAGCTCTTCTTGCCGCTGTGGTCTCTTGTTAGTATCAAAGGTCTCTCAGATCCCAATATTTTAGGGGTTCTTCACTTAGCGGAGCTCTCGGTACTTGAGAAATCAGCAGCCTCAGGGATACCATGTCTGAGACCGATGGGATCCGAGGGAGCTGATATATTTGATTTCTTTGATGTAGGTTCCCTACCTGGAGAACTTGGAGCACGGTCACTGGAAGACTTATGAGAAGAATCTTGGGTCTTCCTCTTAGATGCCCTTGAGTGCGGTTCAGAGGCAGCTGACTTATTTGGAAACTGGTGTATGCAAGAGGGGGAGGGTGAAGAGCTCTTGATCTGTGTCAGAGCCCAGACGCAGCAAGTTCTCCATCTTAAGGAGTCAAAGTTTATCTCCCTGTTCTTTCTGGCTCTAGATTTTAACTCCAGACAGAAGTTGCACTTTTGGGAAATATGACATTCCCTAAGGCAATGGATGCAGCGGGAGTGTCCATCACTCACTGGGATTGCCTCCCAGTATGACAGGCAACGCTTGAATCCGGGAGAACCAAGCATACCTTTGGAAAGGGCAAAAATCCTCAGGGATGGGGGGGATGATCTAAAAGCTATATATATATAACTTTTTTTAAAAAAAACAACTAACTAATTACTTTAATACACTAAGTACAAAAGCTAAGAGACCACAGTTGAGCCAAAACCTAAAGTGCTGGAACAATTTGTATAATGGGGGTGGCTGAGAGAACATTGAATCAAACTATCAGGGGGTAGCCGTGTTAGTCTGTATTCACAACAAGGAGTCCGGTGGCACCTTAAAGACTAAGGGATTTATTTGGGCATAAGCTTTCGTGGGTAAAAAACCCACTTCTTCAAATGTCAGCATCAAACTGTAAACCCTGTATATAGTGGAAACCACTTCAGACCACTAGCACCCCTAGTTCCAGCACCTATGGCCAAAACTCAACTCCATCGTAAGCCATGACAGTTGAGAAGGGACTGAGAAGGATTAGCCCGCACTGTGCCATATAGCAACGGGATGGAGCACAAGGCTGAGTAACACGTATGCACAGGCCAAACGGACACTGCTGAAGAAATCTCTAGTCAAAGGCGCAGGGGATGCAAGTGCACCTAGAGTGGAGCACCCATAGGGACACTACTAGAAGAGGAACACCAGTCTACTAGACATGGAACTGAAACCACCAATCCTTTCCACATGTGCCAGAAAACTGCTATCAAATGGTAACAACTTTGAACTTTTGCCAAGCTGACAAGGTAATCTTCGGAAAAATCAGCTATAGTGCATGAATGTGGCAGGTGTGTGAACTTATTTTCCAAACCATATGATGATATGAACTTCACACAAGGGGGAAAGACTTCAGATTAACTAGAGGTACCATATGCTTTCTCCACATTCTAATTTAGGCCATGTCTACACTAGGAG